TACATCTTCAGATTCCCAGCACATTTCTTTCACCCGCGTTTTCATTAAATATCTGATTTATTACGAAATACGCCCTCGGTAGAAAGTATTCTTACCGGCGGAGTTTGGATATGCGCAGTTCCAAATGTACTTAATAACCTTCATTCTTGTGCATAAAAATGTGAATTTATTAATATATATAACTCTGAACATCACCAGGCTTATACAATAACAATGGGTGTTGAGATGATAGATCACTACGGGGAGCTTAATATGTTTACGTGTAAAAGCAGTTCCGCCGGTTTGTTTTGCAAATAATTTAACTAGTTACCCCATTAGATACTGTGACGTGTTTGTTTGTCCTTTAAACTGTTTGTATCACGCCTCTTTGCATACAGACATTGCCCCATCAAGAAGCAACTTGGTTTTATTCCAGATGTTATCAACAGTCTGCAAAAGTATCACCTTTCACAGTATCTGGACAACTTCATCCATTCTGGCGTGTTCATGAAGCAATCGTCATGGAAAAAAAAATTGTCAAGAAAACAGTTTTAGATCATGAGCTCTCAGACTGGTGTGAGCGCCTCAGAACTGATCCAGACCTGAAGCACTTCCGCGAAATCCACCCCTCACCAACTCCACACCCTTCCTGGCTATTAGCTAGGAGACACCCGGAACTGAAGAGACGGTGCAGCTCTGCGCCGTCTGGAGACCAACCAGATTTGTCCATGGACAGTGTGACCTATGCGATGACGTATATGATGATCTCCTGGTACATGCCATATGTACCTGTGAGGTCAAAACAGAGACGAGAGACCTTCTGTGGTGCGACCTCATCCAAGTAGGACCTGTGGACCTGAGTGTGAGCTTGCATGATAAGGCAGATCTGGACCTGGTTTGCTGTCTGCCGACCCCCTGTGACTCTGGCAGATGACGACCTGTGGTCGTACATAGAGACTGTTGTGAAAGGACTATCCTCCCTCTGTGCATAATTCTGTATATCTGTTTCAATGAACTCTAAACCCTAATTTATCGAATTATCGCATTTCTATGTACTCTCCTATGGAGGAATAAAAGTGTATATATATAATGTCCCCGCCGTGATATTGCTGGAATATTGCTAAAAGCGGCGTAAAAATAAACTCTCACTCACTCACTCACTCACTCACTCACTAACTCACTAAAATATTCCAACTTACCTATGTATATGCGAATAGATAGAAGTGGATAGAATCGACAAAACCATGTCTACATCCATAAGACTCTCTGCTAAAAGCTTAAGCATGTTTATATCGATTCCTGTAAATGACAAGTTAGTGTTAAACAGCGACTAACTCTCCCACCTAACAACTTTGTGAGGCCTCACAAAACTAATTACTTGCCTTTAACCCTCAAATAACCATAGGTCACCACTGCGGGTCAGAAAATGGGCTTATCGATTTTCTGAACCCGCAGGGGTGACCTATACAAATTATGATCGAAAACATACGACTGAGGGTCTTGGTTAAAGGGAGATAATTCAATAAATGAGGATTTTACTGCAAGTGTTTTCTGCTCAAGGAGCCTGATTTTAACACACAGTGTTGTCCCATAACAGTGTAATGACTGCATTCTGTGTCGTAGCCTGTGCTGAATAAGAACACAGCTTGAAAATCAATAAGTGGTGCATTTTGCTGATTTGGGATTTCCAATTTATCAAATATCTAATTTCATGCCAAGAAGCTGGTCTAAATGAGGGTTTGTGAGTGAGTGAGTGAATTTTACGCCGCGTTTAGCAATATTCCAGTAATATCACGGCGGGGACATTATATATATATATATCCGTGCACTTCTTCCTGAAACCCTTATTTCCAGATCAGCCTTGTGGTGAAGTGGGGCATTTTGAATGGTTTGTTGTCGCGCAGTTCGTTCTTTGATAGAGCTCAGGTTTGTTGTGCCCTAAAACCTACAAAGGTCTTAAGTGCACAGAAATCATGAATATTCATGAGTGGGCGGAGCTTATGTCACTACGTCACACGTTCACCCGTTTTTTTGCCTCCGCTTCTCCATTGTCTTGCTAATGACTAATTGTGCTAATTATTATCATTAAACCTAACTGTACATTCGTATAGTATAGTTCACTCTCTGTGATACAGACCCAGAAACAAATGTGTCCAAGAAAGCCCGTGAAAGTCTAGATTATGTGGCAAGTCTAGATTTCCACAGTTTCTGAAAATAAAGAAAGACTCAGGGCTCCTTTTCATTATATATATAATATGTTCATTTCAGAGACTAGCTGTTAGTTACTGACACATGCCTATGAGGAGTGAGTGAGTTTAGTTTTACGCCGCTATGAGGATGTTGTAGCTAATTTTGTATGTCAAATCAGCATAGATTGTTAATAATTGAAATAATTTATACATTCCACAAACACATTACATATATCTTTAACTCATTCAGAGATATCTTTAATAATTATTCAATTAGAGATATCTTCAATTCTGGCCGTTACTGGTCTCTAAAATCAAATCAAGATATCAGTTATAATTTTGAAGATGTCTATAAATCAATTATTGATATTTATAATACGAGAACCAGGACAGAAAGTCAAAAGTCATTTTCATTCAAGATATCTTTCATCTTTTTCAAAATATATCCAATTAATTTCAATTCAAGATATCTTCATTTCAATTCAAGATATCTTTAAAACATTTTAAGATATCAGTAATCCTCAATATAATATCTCTATTTCAGACATTTTAAAATTAATTGCAAGATATCTCCAATTTAGTTCAAGATATTAGCAATTCTTTTCAAGATATCATTAATATGATTCATTATATCCTCAATTCATTTCGCGATATCATGAATTTTTTTGCAGATATCAAAATTATCTCTAATCGAGATATCTTTAATTCATTTCAACATACATATATGTAATTCAAGATATCTTTAAAACAATTTAATATATCGGTATTTCTTAATAAATGTGAAAACGGCTTGCCATACGCCCATGCGTTGTAAATAAGATGGACCAAGCAAGGGTGACTGGGCCATGCGTGGTCGACCTCTTACTGTTTGTCTCCTAATGATTGTGTTATTGCTTATGTATGTTTAGGGTACATTGTTTTATAGCCATTTGTCTTTTATCTTAGTTTATTCCTATTTATACATTACTTATCCGGGTCACATCCCTGTGTTTTTCTTTGGAAGCGTGCTAAAGGTAATTTCTGGCTAAGTGCCAATGTGCCTGTAGGCCAAAGTAGTCAGACTCATTTACTCGCTCTACGGTGCGGCTGGGTAGCCTAGTGGTTAAAGCGTTCGCTCATCACGCCGAAGACTCGGGTTCGATTCCCCATGTGGATATAATGTGTGAAGCTCATTTCTGGTGTCCCCCGACGTCATATTGCTGGAATATTGCTATAAAACCATTAACAGCGTCGTAAAACCATACTCACTCACTTAATCACTCAACGAGTGATATTCAGTGTCTCTAAATTCTGTAAGCAATTATCGGATTACTAAGGGTATTAGTGCTCACCCATGTGGTGCTAGTTTATTGGTATTTTTAACATCCTGTGAATGACTTGCAATTAGGCCCCAATTACCCCGACGATTTACTGTCACTGTTATTGCCTATCTGAGTATTTCTATGGAGCGGACGGTTTAGCTGTCTCTTGTCACTTTGGGTGGCGGCCCTTGTTCTGCTGGAGTAGATCGATGCTCATGATGTTGATCACTGGCTTGTCTGGTCCTGACTCGATTATTTATAGACCGCCGCCATATAGCTCAATATTGCTGAGTGTGGCGTTAAACAACAACCGAAAAAAGAAAAAAAAACATATCCGAATTGCACAAGATCGGGTTATGTTATCCTCTGACGTCTCTTGTTTCAGGAACTAAAAACATTCATATTTTTGTCTGTACATTCTTAAGCGATTTTATTGTTTAAAATCACAATGATCAGCTGTTTTAACACCTCATCATATCTGATTTAAACATAAAACAGCTCAGCATTTACTTATGGAAACTAGTTCTAGTGGTACAGGTAATAAACTGGTTGGTTTGTTAACGCTCATGATGTCAATCACTGGATCGCGTGGTCCGGACTCGAATATTTACAGACCACCGCTATATAACTGAAATATTGCTGAGCTTGACGTTAAACAGCAAACAAACTACCATCTCATCTTGACATGAGGGAGGCCAGTGATACCGTATCATGTGTTTCATATTTAGATCTATGTTAACTATAAATATTCACTTATTCGCAGGAGCGGTGGGGTAGCCTAGTGGTTAAAGCGTCCGCTCGTCACACCGAAGACCCGGGTTCGATCCCTCACATAGGTGCAATGTGTGAAGCCCATTTTATGGTGTCCCCCGCCGTGATATTGCTGGAATATTGCTAAACCCGGCGTAAAACCATACCCACTCACTCACTTATTCACACGTCATCGTATTTCAACTTCGTAGATCGATGTTCATGTTGATCACTGGATTGTCTTGTCTAGACTCGATTATTTACACACCGCCGGCAGTTTGCTTTAATAATATTGCTTTGTGCGGCGTGACACGAAATAAATATATCATAAAATGCCTTCATCCAAAAACATTACAGACGGTTCCGGACAGTGAATTTCAATAACTATCAGAGCAAAATAATAGTTTTCCACTTATTCGACTTCAAATAACGCAAGTGTCCGGATAAGCGAGATGCGCCTGAACAATCTGATACAACCAGAAAGGTCAGTCCTGTCACAATGCGACGTAGTGAATGACCTTCTACGACATTAGAGTCTATATTGTAACATAATTTCCTGAAATGTTAGCAAAATAAACAACGAAATATATATCATACACAGAATTAATTGACGTCACAATTTTTGCCCAATTGCTTTTGCAATAAATTATGTGGAAACTTACACTTAATTGACAGATTCGGACTTACTGGCAGATTATAATGTCAGGCTCAATTGGGACCGTAGTTAACTTCACGATGAGAGTATATAATTGGTGCCTTCGCGGACTTCCAGCATATGAACTCCACTGTACAGAGGTGGTTGCAGGCTCTCACAATATGACGCCCTACTTGATTGTCTTTATCCTGGCATGTCTGGGTAAGTCCTATGCTTGGTTCTCCTAATTCAGACTTTAATTTTAATACCCTGTGCTTTGATATGAATGACATAGAAAGTGGTTGTGGATATCCTTTACCTTTAAGCGTTAATATACTTGGAAATACACTTTCTCAGTCAAGTGAGTGAGTATGGTTTTACGCAGCTTTTAGCAATATTCCAGCAATATCACGACGGGGGACACCACAAATGGGCTTCACACATTGTACCCATGTGGGGAATCGAACCTGGGTCTTCGGCGTGACAAGCGAACGCTTTAACCACTAGGCTACCCCACCGCCCCCTCTCAGTAAAGTAAGAATTCAAGGACTTTTGGGGTTGGTCCCACACTCTCAGAATGAAGCACCGTGTCTCCAGCACACACAGTCAGCGATGCTGAGAAAGTGTGATAGCAAATGCAACATACGTTACATTGGCTTTAGTTTACATATTATTGAATGTTTTTCGGCATATAGATTATTGTTTCTGATGGAAGGCCTTTTTAAAATATACTACCAATCAAAAGTTTAGACTCATTTAAAGAACTCACTATATGTTATGTATATAATATGGTTACATCGAAGATGAATTTCTCTACAACTTGGGGAAAACAACTGCAAACCTTATGCAGATGATGTTGCAAGAGGACCATGCATCAAGCTGCTGAAACGCATGTGCAAATATCGTACATGTGAACAGCTGCGTTTTGGTGTTGAGTTTTGTGAAGAATTCGCCAATTTTCACCTTGTATTGAACTCATGACAATAATCTTTTCAATGTTACAAATTTGTTTTACAATACATCAGTTTATGTGTAAACAGTTCCTTTGAAAAGTATGGAATATTTTGCAAAATCTAGTTTAGAACAGTTGACTGAAGTAAGTGGCTACATTTACACTAGAGAGTCTAAACTTTTGATGGGTAATATATTTACAAAATATTACATTTTTAAAATATTTAGAATATTTATTTAATCCTGTGGGTATTGCTTGTCACTGCTACTCTGAAAACTGTATCAACATGTACATTGACCCACAAAGAGGACACCTTTGGTGGGGAGTCCAACTTCCTAACTCCCCCACTTACTAAATGAATTCGGCTTGAAACAACAACTAGAAGAAAAAAAACATTCTTGCTCATAACAGTTTACCAAAAGTGAAATATTTGTTCATTATTTTTATCAATATTAATTCCACTTTGAATGTGTGAGACACCACATTGTAAAACTGCTCATACTTCCACCTTTACATTTGGTAGTTAGTAGTTATGAAATAGTTAACCTCGTTTATCTGGCAAAATCTTCTAATGCAAGAGTTATGATGAGTCATAGATTTTTGTCAAACGATTTTCTGGAACATTACCGTAAGGATTGACGGGATTTCATTACTATCGATTTGTTTCTTAAAAAACTAATCCAAGGGTGGTCTAGCGGATAAAGTGTCTACCTGGAACACGGAAGTCGATGTTAAAATGTTATTTGTTATTACCCTGGCCCTCTCAAGGTAGCCACCCACGCCCACACTTGACCGAAATAATTCCTCCCAAACAGCAACAGCACATTTACACGTCTAAATGATCGGGTGAAGAGTTAAAGTACAGGAAATGTTTAAAATAATTGTCATCAGAGCATCAGGGTCTGGTGTAATTGTGTGACAACCGTAAGGTCGCAGGGGTCACGGCTCTCATTAAATGCAATTATTGTCTTGACATAATATAATATGTTCGTGACTCATATACTGACTGAGTTTGGTTTTACGCCGCTTTTAGCAATATTCCAGCAACATCACGGCGGTGGACCGCAGAAATGGGCTTCACACATTGTGCCCATGTAGGGATTCGAACCCAGGTCTTCGGCGTGACGAGCCAACGCTTTAACCACTAGGCTACCCCACCGTCCCCGTGACTCATATAACAGCAATATCACGGCCATGGACACCAGAAATGGGCTTCACACATTGTACCCATGTGGGGAATCGAACCTGGGTCTTCGGCGTGACGGGCGAACGCTTTAACCACAAGATAACCTTAGATACTAAGAGGTTCACACTGTTTTGGTGAACAATGGGCTGGTTCACATTGTTCTACCTGAAGTTGTTAATGCATAGCTGCTTTCAAATGTCATCATTGGCCCAGTGGATAAGGTGTTCGCTCATTAAGACAAAAACCCAGGTTCGAAGATCATGGCTGTTGTCTCCCGCTGTGACAGTAATATCAAATTGGAAGGAGTGTCGTAAAACCTTACTCACTCTCAAGTTATGGAGTTCGAATATTGTCCCATCAATCTAGCTGGTCTTAAGAGTCGACTTGCCGGATCAGATGGTCAACTGTATATTGCATGTCCTCGTATACATACTGTGTCACAATATCGATCACTGGACTGCGTGGACCGGACTGGTTACAAGTCTACGCCATACAGCTGGAGTTTTGCTAAGTGGCATTAAGCAGTCCTACGATCTGGGATTACATACCACATTACTTCGCGCTTTCCACGATATGCATTGATGTAATAAAGGCAAGATACTTTTAAACATAACCTTTTTGCTCTATTATGATGCGACGTTTCAGTACAAATTCATATAACGTTATCAGACACTCGCAGTTTCTTGATAAGGTATGGTGGCTGACTAGTATGGTGGCTGATTAGTATGGTGGCTGATTAGGGCCATCGCTTTCTCGCCTTAAAATTCGGAGGCGAGAAAGTGATATCATGAGACGAGAAAGAGAAAGCGATGGCCCTAAACAGCCACCATAATTTAATACTATCCAGAAATTACGAATGGCGACTGAGCTCCCGTTTGTAGTCGATCATGCGCAGACAGGACTGAATTGTGGGTAATATCACTTTCTCGCTCTATAGCGCAATAACATCGCTTTCTCGTCTCGTGCTATCGCTTTCTCGTGTTATCGCTTTCTCGTCTCGTGATATCGCTTTCTCGTCTCCGAATTTTAAGGCGAGAAAGCGATGGCCCAAATGAGCCACCATACTCATCAGCCACCATAGGTATAAGGATCCTTACCGATCGCATCATGATAGAACACAGAAGTTGTCATCCATAATATTATCTTGCTTCTTCTTCCTGTTCTTCGCAGCCAGACTGACTGATGGTGAGAGGTGTGACTTAAGTCACTGTCACACCCGCCTCATGCCCTATGCTGGTTCTCTCAATGATATTACTCCGGAGCAGCTGCCAGGGTTTTGCAGGTAAATACGGACTTTGTACGTTGTCATTTGTTTCCGCTTGTCACCAAATAATCTTTATACAACTGCCGTACCGTCCGTACTCTTATCCGCCATATAGCTGGAATATACGCTTATAACCCATGTATGTGTAACGATCCTGGTAGAATTGGTCATTAAGCAAGCCATGCTTGTAAGAGGCGACAAACGGGATCTGGTGGTCAGGCTCGCTGATGCATGCAATCGAATCCTCATTGCGAAGAGCGATGGTCATATTGTTAATCACTGGTTTGTCTGGTCCAGACCGTACGACGTTAAACAACAACTCAATAATGAAACACGTCACAATTTAATTCTGGAAACCCAAAAGTCCAGAAACTCTCCGCACTGTGGCCAGTTTCTGACAAAGAATTTGACAAAATTCAACATGCATTTGTCATGAATATATTCTAAGGATAAAAAAGGGACTCGTTGGTATAAAACTGAAAACCTTAAAAACCCAATCGACTTCCGAATTGTTTCTACTTCAAATGCATTGATTTCCTAACATTTCTGATAATGTAAGTATGACCACCCGATCCCGTTAGTAGCCTATTACGACAAGCTTTGATTGCCGAAGACCAATCCGGATTCCGTAGGTGATTTTGGGATCGAGAGGTAAAATTTAGGCTGTCAGTCAGTAGATTGTCTTGTCCAAACTCAGTTGCTTGCATACCGTTCTTGTACAGATGGTCTATTGCTAAGCGCAAACAAAGGCGAAACAATTAGGTGGCCTTCAAGATGGCCAGAATTTTAAAATCAAGTCATTGATCAACTCTAAAATTAAATTACAAATATTTTAAAACTGTGTTACATTGTAACTGTTTTTCATAGGGAGGCTGGCCAGTCCCTTGATTGCATGGACGAGGTTGTTGGAGAATGTGAGTTCCTGAAAGCGCCTGTAGCCAGCTTTGATGACATAGTTTCCGGAATGTGTGAGTATACAAGACGAAGCCTGTTTGCATTCTTCAAATACATGTGCTCCGTTTTAAAATACGATTTTATCTCTGAAAGGACAAGCCAAAAACTGCTTCAGAACCCACATCAAATATTTCTGTTACAGCTGTCATTCAGCGACCGAGTTGGAATTAAAACCACTTTCTATCTAAAACACGAAAAGCTAAAGTTTAAAGCAATTATTATTAAAAAACCCCATCAACAACAGAAAAAGCATCAATTGTTCCACGACTCACTCATTAAACATGAAGATCCCGGACTATCTTTTTTGTCAAAAAAATGTCCACATGTTACAGAGAATGATCAGTTCTTACATTGTCCTTATGAAATGTGATAAGAAAGATGCGAGGCACCTTTTTCCATTGATATGTGACCCGTGAAGGTCCGGGTTAGAATTGATCTTCAGTAACACATGCTTGTCGTAAGAGGCGACTAACGGGATCGGGTGGTCAGGCTCGCTGACTTGATTGACACATGTCATCGGTTCCCAGTTGAGCAGATCGATGCTCATGCTGTTGATCACTGGATTGTCTGGTCCAGACTCCTCGATTATTTACAGACCTCCGCCATGTAGCTGGAATATTGCTGAGTGCGTCGTTAAACAACAAACACACACACACACACACACACACACAGAGGGAAACAAACAAACAAACATCCATTTTCTACTCATGTGATCTTTCATTCAGGTGGTGACATTGATTCTGATGAGGATGAAGATGACGACTTGAAGAGGGGTGTTGTCTGTTCATTCAGGAGGAAAGGGAAAATTCAGAGATGCGCTCACAAACTTCAACGTCTTGTCTACGAGCAGCCTATTCAATGCTGGTAACACAACGATAGTCTCTTTAACCATGTTTTGCCTTTAATAGTGATATGGTTTAAAAAAGCGAACGAGTAAGGTTTGACATCACTTTTGGCAATGTTCCTGCAATATCCATGCTGAAAATGAGAGAAGAGATCTCAAATTGATAAAACGTTGTAATGGTGATATAATTGATACAATAATCTATCAACATCACGGTGGGGGACACCAGAAACAGGCTTCACTCATCGTTCCCATATGGGGAATCGAACACAGGACTTCAGTCCGACAAACGAACCTCTTGGCTACCTCACCGTCCCTTATGAACCTGGGAACATAACCCGAGTCCGTGTATGGCTTCTCCCGAAGGAAACGTTATACCTCACTCACATGAAAAAACGTATTTATGAAATTCCCGTTGTTTTAGTGAGTGAGTTTAGTTTTACACCGCCTTTAGCAATATTAAAGCAATATCCCGATGTCTGATGTAATTATGTTTTGGATTCTTATTTTTTCAGGAAGGTTAGGAGAATCATCGGATGTCTCCAAAAAAACATCGCCAAATGCCCAAGTGTTTTTAACCCTGCGGTCATACGCCTCGACACGTTGCGCTCAAATCTTTTGGCGATATGTAAGTAAATAAACATATCCCTGCGTTAGCTCACCTGGGGAATGGCCTGTGAAGACCCTGGTTAGAACTGGTCTTCAGCAACCCATGCTTGTTGTAAGAGGCGACTAACGGGATCTGATGGCCAGGCTCGCTGACTTGATTTACACGTGTAATCGTATCCCAATTGCGTAAATTGATGCTCATGCTGTTAATCATTGGATTGTCTGGTTCAGACTCGATTATTTTCAGACCGCCGCCATGTAGCTGGACTATTGATGAGTGCGGCAGTGCACAACAAACAAACAAACAAACAAACAAACAAACAAAACAAAACCATCTGGGCAATGAACCTTTTACGCTTATCATTAATCATTCAGGATACTTCAACAGGAAGTTGTACAGGGCATCCATATTTAAATGTGGATGATGAGCCATTGACGGGTTATTTCCAGATCTTGCAGTGACATTTGGGGGTGTATGAGGTAGTCATGCCGTTATGAACGCTCTGAAGGTGACCAATACTGAGAATGACATTTGGACCCTCCTACACAATCATAACAACAATTGGGCTACAATTTCGCTTTATACGAATGGCGAGTGAGTGAGTTTAGTTTTAGCAATATTGCAGCAATATCACAGCAAGGGACACTAGAAATGGGTTGCACAAATTGAACCAATATGGGGAATCAAAAACGGGTTAAACCCGGAGTGAAGAGCGAAGGCTTTAACCACTAGGCCATCCCAGCGCCCCTTAATACAAATGACTTTTGGTGTGCTCACTCACTCACTCACTCGACCGCCTCCGTGGTGTAGTGGTTAGAGCTTCCGCCCGGAGTGCGGAAGGTCGCGGGTTCGATCCCCGACGGCGTCATACCAAAAGACGTTAAAATATGGTACTTGTTGGTCCCTGCCTGGCGCTCGGCATTAATGGGTACAACAAGGACTGGTCGGCTCGGAGTCAGTATAATGTGTCTGAGTGGGGTATTCATGCTTCACTGCGGCATGGTATCTCAGTGGGCTAGCACTATAAAACCAGCTTCAGTCTGGGCTAGTACAAGCAGGCGCACATACACATACACACGCATGCACGTCGTCATATGAGCGAAATATTCTCAAGCTCGACGTTAAACCCAATTCCACCACCACCACTCACTCACTCACTCACCCACTCACTCACTCTCTCATGTGTTCGGGACTCCTGTTTTGTTGTTGTTGCTGAAGTATCCTTCACTCAGTATGCTTCATGAATACGTATGGTCAATACTGTATCAGATATCATTCAATATTCTCTTTACAAAACACTTCCAGGTGAAGAGACAGAGGAACCATCAACCAGAGCACCCCCAACGACTCCGGCACCCCCAACGACTCCAGCACCAACAACGTCTCCAGCAACAGCCGAGTGCCCCTTCATGCCGCGTATTCAAGTATGTCTCAATGAGATCAACGGCCACATGCAAGTTCTGGCGTTTGGAGGACCGAATACCGCAGAGGCGTGCAGGTGAGCTAACAGGTGAAGGTTGTCTGATCGTGAACCGCGGATCTCACACAGGCGTGAAGGTGAGTTAAATGGTGAAGGTTGTCTGCTCCGGAACCTCGGATCTAATGCAGCTGGGCAGGTGAGCTAACGGGTTAAATGTTGTCTGATCGGGAACCTCGGATCTAACGCAGCTGCTCAGGTGAGCTAACAGGTGATGGTTGTCTGATCGGGAACCTCGGATGTAACACAGCCGTTCAGGTGAGCTAGTAGGTGAAGGTTGTCTGATCGGGAACCGCGGATGTAACACAGCCGTTCAGGTGAGCTAACAGGCGTGAAGTGAGTTAAATGGCGAAGGTTGTCTGCTCCGGAACTACGGATCTCACATTCTACTACTACAACCACCAACACCACCAACGGTGATAGTACGAACACGTGCCCCTGGATGGCGGTAAATATAGAATGCTGATACATATTATGTACACCAATACGATGGATGTTTTGTTATAGATGACCTAACAATTGGGTAATCGTCTATCATCCCTGTAGGTCTCTCCCAGGCGCCCTAGAATGTGTCTCCAACTACACCGAGGCCTGCGCGGACTACCCTCAATTTTCCAATATGGGCCCCGAGTTCAATGCACTGGTTGAACAATTCAGAACCCAGACAAGCTCCATGTGTAAGTCTACTACCTCTTCCTCGTATGAACTATAACCTTTAGCATGGAGAATACCCCCATCCAGCACGGGTGGTTCTGTCGTCTGATTTCAAGGGACGGAGTTACGTCCCTTAGGCAAGTCAAGATCGAGTGATCGTAGGTTCAAATCCCAGATTCGTCCCGATAACGTTGTTGACTGACTGACTGACTGAGTTTGGTTTTACGCCGCTTTTAGCAATATTCCAGCAACATCACGGCGGATGAACACCAGAAATGGGCTTCAAACATTGTACCCATGTGGGGATACGAACCGGGGTCTTCGGCGTGTGACGAGCCAACGCTTTAACCACTAGGCTAGCCCGCCATCCCGATAACGTTGTTGAAGAGGTGAATGTATATGATGTTGAGGTGAAATAATGTAACATCTCGGAAAATGATTTCAACCAACGTCAGTCTACTCAATCACTCGGATATTTGATAAATATATTTTGCATGCTGTTCAAATTTTATTAACTTATTTTCTTTATTGTGTCATAAACATTTTGAACCTTATTTCTACCAGGTCCCGGCACTGGCGGAGGAGAGGGTACGTATTGCTTGCATCCCATTTCATAACATTTGTGAGCGGTGGGGTAGCCTAGTGGTTAAAGCGTTCGCTCGTCACGCCAAAGACCCGGGTTCGATTCCCCACATGGTACAATGTGTGAAGCCCATTTCTGATGTTCCCCGCACGGAACATTAACGGGCTTTAATGCAACGTCGAAACTTGTCAAACTAACGTCACGCCAATATCAAACTAACGTCACGCCAATATCAACCTAACGTCACGCCGTCAAACTAACGTCACGCCAATATCAACCTAACGTTACGCCAATGTCAAACTAACGTCACGCCAATGTCAAAGTAACGTCAAACTGAGGTCAAGCCAATGTCCACCTGCGGTTTCATCACACATTTGTTGGCGGTGAGGTATACCTTTTATCTTTAACATTTTATACCTTTTATCTTCCAGGTCCCGGCACTGGCGGAGGAGAGGGTACGTAGGGTAGCCTAGTGGTTAACACGCTCGCTCGTCATGCCGAAGCTCCGGGTTCTATTTCCTACATGAGTACAATGTGTGAAGCCCATTTCTGGTGCCCCCCCGCCATGATATTGCTGGAATATTGCTTAAAGCGGCGTAAAACAAAACTCACTCACTCAATCATCACACATTTGGCGGAGGATCAGACATGGTTTGGAGTGGCAAGACTGACTGACTGAGAGCTTTTGCCAATGTGGAAAGTAGAAGAGAGACGTGGTCGTCAAATTCACAGGCCGATGACCACATTCTGGCTCGTCACGTTGAAGACCCGGGTTCAATTCCCCACATGGATACAACGAGTGGAGCCCATTTCTAGTGACCCCGCCGTTATACTGCTGGAATATTGTTAAAAGCGGCGTAAAAACATACTCACTCACTCCGACCACATTGGATGGACTTGGCGGTGTGATAAAAGGGGAGACTGATCCGTGAAGATCCCTGTTAGAATGGGTCATGGACAACCAATGATTGTCGAAATAGGCGACTAAAGGGATCGGTTTTTCAGGCTTGATGACTTACTTGCATGTCACATGTCATCGTATCCCAATTGCGTAGATCGATGGTCATATTATTGATCCCTGGATTGTCAAGTCCGGACTCAATTATTTACAGACCGCCGGTATATAGCTGAAATATTTCTGAGTGCGGCGTAAAACAACAAACAAACAAAGATCTCCTGTCATGTTCACATCCAGTCGTAATGTGTTCATTACTATCGTACAGGCAGCACTGGAACCTATCTCTCCTAAATTACAAGTTTTGAAAGGTGATGTTATGTCTAAGCATCCCGTATTTGTTTTGAAGAGCATAAGTAACTTTGATATACCGCCACAATGCTCAGCACAGAAACAGGCATTTATTAACAGCAGAATGTAATCATTATGTAATCAAAATATAATCGAGATGTAATCATCCTAACATCGGCTTAAATCATCAACTCATCAGCATAGTCATCTAAATAAACAAAACAAAATCCAGCACTCGACGAAATACTTTTAAATCAACATCATCGATTGTTTCACGTTTTAAGGAGGATGTCCATCGAACTATCAACAGAAACTTCTTGACTGCATAGGACCTCTTCAGGGGGGCAAACCCCAATGACTTGTCCGCCATGTGCAGGTAAGTGAACCACGTGTATGTTGTCTGTAGGTAGGTGAACCACGTGTATGTTGTCTGTAGGTAAGTGAACCACGTGTAGGTTGTCTGTAGGTAAGTGAACCACGTGTAGGTTGTCTGTAGGTAAGTGAACCACGTGTGGGTTGTCTGTAGGTAAGTGAACCACATTATGTGTATAAGTTGTCTGTAGGTAAGTGAACCACGTGTATGTTGTCTGTAGGTAAAAGTGAACCACGTAGGTTGTCTGTAGGTAAGTGAACCACGTGTATGTTGTCTGTAGGTAAAGTGAACCACGTGTATGTTGTCTGTAGGTAGGTAAGTGAACCACGTGGGTTGTCTGTAGGTAAGTGAACCACGTGTATATTGTCTGTAGGTAAGTGAACCACGTGTAGGTTGTCTGTAGGTAAAGTGAACCACGTGTATGGTTGTCTGTAAGTGGGAACCACGTGTATGTTGTCTGTAGGTAAGTGAACCACGTGTATGTTGTCTGTAGGTAAGTGAACCACGTGTATGTTGTCTGTAGGTAAGTGAACCACGTGTAGGTTGTCTGTAGGTAAGTGAACCACGTGTAGGTTGTCTGTAGGTAAAGTGAACCACGTGTGGGTTGTCTGTAGGTGAGTGAACCACGTGTGGGTTGTCTGTAGGTAAGTGAACCACGTGTAGGTTGTCTGTAGGTAAGTGAACCACGTGTATGTTGTCTGTAGGTAAGTGAACCACGTGTATGTTGTCTGTAGGTAAGTGAACCACGTGTATGTTGTCTGTAGGTGAGTGAACCACGTGTATATTGTCTGTAGGTAAGTGAACCACGTGTATATTGTCTGTAGGTAAGTGAACCACGTGTAGGTTGTCTGTAGGTAAGTGAACCACGTGTAGGTTGTCTGTAGGTAAGTGAACCACGTGTAGGTTGTCTGTAGGTAAGTGAACCACGTGTATGTTGTCTGGTGAACCACGTGTAGGTTGTCTGTAGGTAAGTGAACCACATGTATGCTGTCTGTAGGTAAGTGAACCACGTGTGGGTTGTCTGTAGGTAGAGTTAACCACGTATTGGTTGTCTGTAGGTAAGTGAACCACGTGTAGGTTGTCTGTAGGTAAGTGAACCACGTGTGGGTTGTCTGTAGGTAAGTGAACCACGTGTAGGTTGTCTGTAGGTAAGTGAACCACGTGTAGGTTGTCTGTAGGTAAGTGAACCACGTGTAGGTTGTCTATAGGTAAGTGAACCACGTGTATATTGTCTGTAGGTAAGTGAACCATGTGTAGGCGTAACTCACTCATTCAGCGTGAAACAAGGCACCCGCATCGGGCCAAAACAACGTTTTTTAGCATGCGGGTTCGGTATCATGAATCTCTGCATGTCGGTGTTTCGTGCTTTGGGTGCTACATCCAACGGATATAATCAGATCATAACGGTTATCATACTAATGGTATGTGTTTCCTTCCAGTATGGCCCGGACAGCGTTCAGCTGTGTAGATGACCTGGTGACCGCTTGTGGAAGCGCAGTCGGGCCTCTGTTAGGACAAATGCAATATAACCAGTCAAAACAAAGTTTGTTGTCTATCTGTGAGTATTTGTTTATACATACTGTTATTGATAATGTTTGATGAATCGGGGAGTAAATAAAAGGAAATTATTGCCTAATTAATCAATTTGGTCGGCCATTTTGAATTATGAAGTCACAGGTTTTTCCCATTCTATAATTAGTAAACACTCGTGACATGCTCACGTGACGGGTCTAAACCAAGCTGCAGGGAGATGGGGGTAGCCCAGTGGTTAAGGCGTTCAAAACTCACGTTCGATTTCCAAAGTGGTTACAGTGTTCGATGCCCATTTCTGGTGTCCACTCCGTAATATTGCTGAAAGCGGCGTAAAACCATACTCACTCACATTTCATTTTTTCCTTAGGTCCCGCATAGAAAACATCGTTCCAGCTCATCTACAGTGCATCTCTGATTCTGTATTTTCATATGGTTTTCAAATCATGAAATAAAGTTGATACCTTTATGATGCGTCTTTTTTTGTCTGCAACGAAACAAAACAGTTGAGAACACCATATTGTGTGTATCCACATCCCTTCTGACGTGGGGCGGTGGGGTAGCCTTGTGGTTAACGCGCTCGCTCGTCCCACCCAAGACCCATGTTCGATTCCCACATGGGTACAATGCGTGAAGCCTATTTCTAATGTCCCCCGCCGTGATATTGCAGGATTATTGCTGGAAGCGTCATAAAACTAAACTCCAACACTCTGACGTGACCCTGATTCTGAGCCTGACGTTGACCTTGACCATGAAATGGACACTGGGCCTGACCTTGGCCTTGATTCAGACACAAACTGACGGGACACCGCAGGAGAAAGTGCACCTTTATCGCTGTTTCGGGCTTGCCTGTTTCCTCTATAGATGGAGCACAAACAGTGATCCAACGTTATTTAAAGTCAACGGGCACTATTTCCGGAATAATTTATATCCGCTTTTCAATTAATAAAAAACTGATAGTCACTGCATGTTATAATTAGTTTGTTTTCTTTGTAAGTATTGGCCGTCTCCGTGGTTTAGTAGATAGAGTGTTCGCCGGTGGTTTGAACCCCGACTGTTACTTGTTTCTCTGCCTTATGGTGAGTGAGTGAGTGAGTTACTATTTAACGTCACATCGGCAATATCTCAGCCATATCGTGACGGTCTGCCTTATGGTAGTCATGGAGGGAATAAAGCAAGTGAGTGAATGAGTGAGTATGGCTTTAGACCGCTTTAGGAATATTCTAGCATAATCACGGTCCCTGACGTGACACCAGAAATTGGCTTCATGCATTTCCCCATGTGGAGAACCGAACCCAGGTCTCTGACGTGACGGGCGGACGCTTTAACCACAGGGCTACCCCACCGCCTCCGATAAAGCAAAGCCTAGTCGGCTCGAAGTCAATATAGCAGAGCGTTGAGAACAGTTATAGTAATGAAAATGAACAAATGAATATTGTTTTTTTTAGCAATATACCAGAAATTTGCTTCACATACTGTATCCTGTGGGGTACCGATCCCGGATGTTTTGGAAAACGTTTGACCCTACTAACTCGAAAAGTCGGGAGGGAGTTCAGAGTTTAGATTTACGCCGCTTTTTTAGCAATATCACGGTGGAGGACACCAGATATGGGCTTCACACATTGTACCCATGTGAGGAATCGAACCCGCGTCGTGACCAGCGGACGCTTTAACTATTAGGCTACCCCGCCGCCCCCACTCGAGAAGTAAGTAAACTTCGTTTATAACGAACATGTTTATTACGAACTGGCGGATATTATTATTATTTTTTTTTTTTGTCCTGGCCTCTCGCTGCATCGTTCAGGCAAATTAAAATCAGTGGTCCCTTTGAGTTCGTTGTAACCGAAAATCCGGGTAAGAATTGGTGTTCAGTAACCCATGCCTGTTGTTGTTGGACTGCAACGAGCTGCTTCTGCTTGTCGTAAGAAGCGACTAACTGTATCGGGTAGTCAGGTTCACTGACCTGGTTTACGAATGACACCGTATCTTAATTCCGTAGATCTATGCTCATGCTATTGATCACTGGATTGTTAAGTCCAGACTCGATTATTTACTGAAATCCGTCATAGATGGGATATCGCTGGGTGTGGCGTTACACAGCAGCAATCAAACAGCAACTGACCACGCCCAATTCCTAGTTTACCCCGCCTCTCCGAACATCTACCCACCGGAAACCGGCACACCCACCTGACAATACTGAATACATACCACAAAACATGAAGCATCTTTTCAGCGGTCCACGGAAGCTCATGCTTTAGAGTGGCCGTCCTTAGTTAACGTCTAAACTCTACTACAGCGCTTGAGAGCTTCGTTAACCTACCTGTATGGAGAACTCCGCTGTAAGAAGCTTGTCTCATACCTTGTGTACAGTCGAAGGACGATGGTGAAAGAGTCGACGTTTTAGTCTATGATTCCAGGACTTCGGGCCTAAAATGACCAACGTCTGTCTACTTGCTCAGCACTATCAAGTGTGATTCATTCGTTAGTGAGTTTTAACTGCCATATCTGATTACAGTTCCAAGTAGAACGTGGTCAAATGTAACGCATTTACATTTGGGATTACACTTTTTCAGTAAAGTACAAATTCTGTTACTTTTTGTAAGGCTGCCTGTGCCATTAGGATGGTTCGAATCCTGGATGGGACGCAACCTAACGAAATTACAAGAAGCTGTACTTTACTGAGAAAGTGTAACCCCAAATATAACAAATATGTTACATTTTGCCATATAATTCACTGTTTGAAGTCGGTTTGTTTGCGATCTCATGGGTTGACCTCCATACTCGTGTTTTTGACCAATAAGATCCTCAATAAGATGGGACACGCAATGGTCACGTTTGGGCCAAAGTGGAAGAAGCACCCTTGTCTGGCATTGTTTTTGTTGTACAGGTGGCAGTCAAGTTGCTGTTGTAACTTCCACATGTGTGCCATGACAAACACCCTTTCAGCCCTTCCATGGTTTTAGCCCTACTTATATATGTGTCTTACATATTGAGAGCCCGCTGTCGGCTTAAATCATTTCAGCTGGCTTGTCCCTTATCGACTCTGACCCGTGAAGATCCATGCGGTTGATCAGTGGATTGTCTGGTCCAGACTCGATTATTTTCATACCGTCGCCATATACCTGGAATATTGCTGAGAGCGGCGTTAAACAACAAACAAACAATATCAGTTGGAGCTGTGCTTTCCGAATTAACGGTGTCGACCACAACATGCTATACCTGATCGTTCATTGGTCTCGTCACCCGCTTGAAGTACGACGTGACCGACTGGTTGGAAAACAATACCCAGAGTCACTAACTCAACGCAGTAAATGGCAACAGCGACTAGAAGGCTGTATGTTATTTGGTAAAAAGGTTAAATGGAGGAAACGGTGAATATACGTGGGTGGCTAGGGCGAGTGAGTCATAGCACTGATTTATAATCTGGACATGGCGGTCGTACGTGTCCAGTGATGTTGAAATAGGTTATAGTAACTCCGTTACTGCTTATAATCGGTCAATAAAGTCATTATCAAGCCCACGTGACCTTTAGACAAAGCATGTATGTATATATTACGCTCTCTTGGAGACTGGATGGTAGTTTTAAGCAAAGCCAGGAAAATCTAGTAAGCATTATATGTGGGATCCATTTCACTTTGTAAGAATAAAGGTGATATATTTGTATCTTAGAGTAGAGTGTCTCCATCAAACGCATTATACGAACGTGAACATTATTATCACCTTACGTTATTACATACACACGGATAATGAGTATATTTTTGATAAGAAAACAAACGTGAGCTATTTGGTCACTGCATGATTAAAATTTTCATGTTGGAAGCTGGTTGGTAGGAGTAAAGGCACTTACAGACGGAATGATTCTGGCCCGAGTTGTCCTTCCGATGGTATGGGTATGGTCAAGCGGTGTGCTGTCCAGCATATGGGTGCATATCGTCAAGGTGTAGCATGGGATCAGCTGCCACAGATCGGTAGGTTGTTAGTGATTGTTATTTTCCCTTTTGTCATCATAGCCAAATGCATATGTTTGAATGACATTTCCAATATAGCCGACATGTTGTCATTTGCCTCTCTAAGTATGGTTAGCGTTATCATCAACAAGAAAGAAAGAAATTAGTAAGTTCAGTTGTATGCCACTTTTTGAAATATTCCAGCAGTATCACGGCGGGGGACACCAGGAATGAGCTTCACACATTGTACCCATGTGCGGATTCGAACCCGGGTCTTCGCCCTTGACGAGCGAACTCTTTAACCACCCGGCTTCCCCCACCGGCCCCTATGATAAAGAGAGGAGAACATGAGAGAAATAAAACATCAGAGATATGTGAAACTATAAAAAAATCTTAACAAATGTTCTCGCTCACGATGTTCAGTTGGACCGCCTGCTTGGTGTAGTGGTAAGAGCGTCCGCCCGGTGAGCGGAAGGTCGCGGGTTCGATCCCCGACCGCCTCATACCAAAAGACGTTAAGATATGGTACTTGTTGGTCCCTGCCTGGCGCTCGGCATTAATGGGTACAACAAGGACTGGTCGGCTCGAAGTCAGTATAATGTGTCTGAGTGGGGTATTCATGCTTCACTCTGGCATGGTATCTCAGTGAGCTAGCACTATAAAACCAGCTTCAGTCTGGGCTAGTACAAGCCGCACACACATACACATACACACGCATGCACGTCGTCATATGAGCGAAATATTCTCAAGCTCGACGTTAAACCCAATTTCACCTCACCTCACTATGTTCAGTTACGAAATTAATTGGCTGTGTTGTCAAGAAAAGAGTGAGTAAGTACAGTTTTACGCCGCTTTTAGCAATATTCCAGCAATATTACTGCGGGGGACACCAGAAATGGGCTTCACACATTGTACCCTTGTGGGTAATCGAACCCGGATCTTGGGCGTGACGAGCGAACGCTTTAACCACTAGGCTACTCCACTGTTCCTGTTAAGAAAGCATCATCAGAGCACCATATATAGACTACACTGATCTTCAGTTGATCCACACAGATTTCAGTAACATAAGAGCAATTAGCTTTCTTCAAAAAACATTCCCCGATGTCCAAGCGTGTCTCGAACCTTGACACGCTGCCGTTAAACGTCTCCTCGATCTGTGAGGTGAATCGAAGTACTTCCTTTGTTACCTCACCTTGACAATTGAATGTGTGACTTTTCTAAGCTCACATTGACAAGTGAATGTAGGATTTGTTATCTCATCTTGACACTTGACTGTAGGACCTTGGTTTCTCACCTTGACAAGTGAATGTAGGGCTTTTTTTATCTCACCTTGACAAGAGAATGTAGGACTCTGTTAGCTCACCTGGACAAGAGAATGTAGGGCTCTGTTAGCTCACCCTGACAAGAAAATGTAGGACTTTGTTATCTCACCTTGACAGGTGTATGTAGGACTTTGTTATCTCACCCTGACAGGTGTATGTAGGACTTTGTTATCTCACCCTGACAGGTGTATGTAGGACTTTGTTATCTCACCCTGACAGGTGTATGTAGGACTTTGTTATCTCACCCTGACAGGTGTATGTAGGACTTTGTTATCTCACTTCGACAAGTGAATGTCAGGCTTTTTTATCTCACCTTGACAGTTGACTGTCGGGCTTTGTTATCTCACCTTGACAAGTGAATGTTTGGCTTTGTTATCTCACCGTGGACTTTGACACTGGACTTGGGTAGAGATCCTTTTGATACCATGGAGCGATGTTGGTTGAGGTATGTGTAACTGTAAAATCGGCATTAGACCCCAACTCACCTGCCAACTATTTGTTTCTGAATACTTTTCTATACGCTTCAAGGTGAAGTGGCAACGGTAACACGAACCATGACCCAAGAACCATCAACGACTCAAGCACCAACCAAAATCCTTACGTCAACCACGCCAACAGAAGTTCCAGATGATTGACACGGAGACCTCCCAACACTACGAACATGCCGAAATAATTTCCCCTGTTGAACGACGGATCTTGAGCGAGCGTGCAGGTGAGCTTATACTGATGCAAATAAAAAATAAATTTGATGCTTTTTGACACACAAATATGTCTGACATTTGACTGGTACCGTAACTTTTTTCCCGTGTGTTATAAGGTAAACAATTGCCTTGCCTTTGCATGTGTTATTGACAGGTTTCATCAATTAGAGGAGCGGTGGGGTTGCCTAGTGATTAAAGCGTTCGCTCGTCACGCCGAAGACCCGGGTTTGATTCCCCACATGGGCACAATGTGTGAAGCTCATTCTGGTGTGCCCGGGTTCGATATTGCTGAAATATTGCTAAAAGGGGCGTAAAGCCAAAATCACTCACTCATTCCAGTAATTGGGGAAGATCCATTACTTCACATTTTGGCAAACACCTGGCATCATTAATATTTAAATTGATTCATCAAACCGTACTCATGATAAAGTCGGAATATTGCAATGGATGAGGAAAGAACAACACACTACAATGTTTTCTAACAAGGAGATGTCTCCGTGATCCTGACCAATACTCCAATTTTGACCTTGACCTTGACCTTTAAGTAGCACGGGCGTGGCGACTTTACTGTATTTATAAGGGTAACTTTGTTAAAGTTATCAAAAGTATATTCCTTTGGAGACCCGGGTTCGAGTACAATGTGTGAAGCCCATTTCTGGTGTCCTCCGCCGTGATATTGCTGGAATATTGCTAAAATAGGCGTAAAAATAAACTCACTCACTCACTCATTTTCGTCGTGCGGAAGTCGCAAATTGTGATGGTTATACTTTAGTCTCATGTGCATATGTTGACCAAGTGGTATATGCCAATAAATCAAGCTTGTAAAGTCGCAAACCGTGCATCTACATGCATCGCACACATCTCCAGCACAAAACACTGTTATATTCCACCTTGACATGATATGTTATGTTGACTAATTCTGGGACACGGGAGGCCCATCGGTTAAGGCGACGTAATTTTCCTTGGAGAGTTGCCTCCCTTGTCGACCTTCATAAGTGGCTGTATGTGGCCTCAAGTACAATACAGGCTGTTTGTGTAAATTTAATTGTAAAGTCGAAAATGGCGGTTCAGTAGCCTAGTGGTTAAAGCGTTCGCTCGTCACGCCGCAAACCGGGTTCGATGCACCACATGGGTTCAATGTGTAAAGGCCATTTCTGGTTCCACATTTCTTAAAACGCATCTCTTTTCACTGCACTATTAACTCTATTCAAACATTATTATTATTTTGTAGCGCTTTGAGCACCCACTTAGTGGTTGGATTTAGCGCTATAAAATTTTCCATTATTATGTTTTACAGATTAAAGATGAAAATGCAGCAGAGGGGGTTCGGGTGATCCTGTCACAGTCAGGCTGGTAAGGCTCATCATCAGCTCAGGGCCCTCGCCCCCTCTACACGCAGCCCAGACAGCGAATGGGACTTCTCCCAGGAAACCTTGCCTAGTCGAACCCACCAAGAACTTTCCGGAGAATATGAAGGCTCCCCAACACTGCAGCCTTCTGCATTACCCAGAGTGTCAGAAGGGCTGTGCTCCCGGTGGAAAACCCAGGCACTCTCCTGATCTGCGCCAAGAGATCAGGAGGTACCAAACCAAGGGCACCGAGAACAATGAGGAGCCTGACGACAGTGTACTTGGGATGCAAGCGAGACATTTCAAAGGCGAGGTCCGCATATTTATCATGTTTTTCCTGAATCTTGCCAATCACATTGCTGTCAAAAGGGACAGAAAATTCAATGATATAAATAAATTCATTGGCTTTATCAAAAGGACAAGATCAGGTTTGCTGGCTGGAATTCTTCTGAGGCTGTATATGGGCCTATTCCACAGATTGAAAGCATCATTTTCCATTTTCCGTTTGGACATGTTCAGGGTCGTACCATGGATGGACCTCGGTGTCAAAGCCACAGGCATGACGAAGACGGTACCAAAAGCAACGAGCCATGCCAATATGTCTTTTAAGATATGCTGTTTGTGCCAAGGAAGGGCATCCACTGACAAGGTGTTGGACAGTCTCTGTAAATTCATTGCATAATCGTATTTTTATTATTAATATTATTATTATTATTATTCCCCCCGTCGTGATATTGCTGATATTGCTAAAGGCGGCGTAAAGGCTAACTCACTCAAGTCGAATCGAGGGTACCATCAGCCTAGATCTAATTCGGTACGAATGCCAATTGAAATCTTTTCACGTCCGTGTCGTGACAAATCAGATGTTAACTTATTGCCTCTCACGGACTGTATTACATCCACGTGTCAAACCGCCGCACCTTCCGACACTGCGGTACACCTTATCGGTAAAATCGTAGGATTACGTCATTAAGTCAGCGACAGCCGAGACAACATGGCAGAAGGTAGGTGTGTTTTTTTCAGAGCGTTTAAAACAATATTCATTATCACAAAACTACAGATAACTTTTTGGGATTTGAGTTATGTACTCGCTTATGTTCATCTTAATTGGGTATCCTAATTTTCCTTTGAGTAACCAAATAAATTGTACCCACCTCACTCAAACTCAGTTGTGTTTGTTATTTATATTTTGCCTGTATTTTCGATAAGAAAGACTGCAATTAATTGTACCGAAAATAAGATAATACAGTTTCAATGTTGGTTTACGTGTTTGTTATTTATATTTGATCTGTTGAAAAATAACGTGAGAATTACGATAAGTGAAAAAGACTGCAAGTTGCCAAGTTCGTGTGTTGTAAAACCGATTTAACTGTTTATATAATTTCAACCACCGAGTCACTCTCAGTTCGACTTAAAAACGCTAATTGTGATATAAGATGTGTCGTTTAGATGTCCGTTTTATGTATACGTTTCGTGTGATATGGATTTACGATTGTTAGATCAAATTAATTGAGCGTTTTACAAAACTTCAAGCGTAGGTTGATACACAGAAAATCAACCTGCCAGAACAATGGACATAACATACCTAGTGGTATTGTACGCTATAAACTTAAAGGTCACATGCAACGTAAAACATTACACAGACAGGCAGGTGTGATACTTGTACACATGACATGCTATGATGTCTGTTGATTGCAAAATGCTATACCACAAAAATGAGCATGCAAAGATTCTGATACCGTGAGGGCATCTGCAAATTCGGTGATGGACTTTACCAAGTGAAACAATTTCATCAAAATGCAAATTCATGAATAAGTGATAACTGTGTTTTAATTATGTTTGTTTTTTGGTTTTGACCTTTGAGTTTTCACATATGTTTTGGTTGCACATACATGTTTGGGTAATGTACGCAGTTACGCAGCTTGTCTGTACCTCTCTGATAATATTTTTGTGGTTACGAAATATGCATGCAATTTGTAAAGGAAGAGGAATGTGTTTCTGAATGATTGAATAAAAGGATTTGAAAAATAGAAGTAGTATTACCTTTGTTGCCTATGAATAAATTTTTTTCTTCTAAAACCAGATTTTTTGGGAAAACATGGCATTCGGTTTGGCAGGTGTTTTAATATAGAATTTTGACGATATTTTCGGAATGACCCCGATTTGTTGATTGTTTTCTGCACATTTTGCTAAGTATACCTTGGTTTCAGTTTTCACGAAGGCTCTAACGATATTGTACTAAATGTAATTATGGTGACGTCAGGTCTGTCTCACGATTTAACTCCGCGTTTGGTCAGTCAAGGGGTTGATGTTATGAGTATTACGCTATTGGGGTACGATCACTCGCTATCAATGACGTCACCGAACCTGACCACCCATCATTAAAGTATATGGTGCATGGTAATTATTCTAACCAAAATATCCCCCAACATAGGATTATATGATTTGTTTGTTTGTTGATTCGCCCCAGTATTACGACAAGTCTGCACCAGGATCAACATTGAGCACTGAAGATCAATTCTAACCAAGTCAGCGATCTTGACTTGTGAGTTACTTATACGAACTTGTGACGAACTTGTGATAACTGGCATTAATAAGTCACGATGTATTTCAATTGCAATTATCGTCACGTTAATAATGTTACCAAATTATTCTGATATGTAGAGGTGACCTTTGGGATCGCTTGGCCAGGTAGGGAGATTCGGTGGATACGTGTCATCATATCCCAATCACGGGATTGTTTGGTCAAGACTCGATTTATTACAGACAACCGTCACTTTGCTTGGTAATTTCTGAGTTCGGCGTCAACCCCCCAAAAAAAATAATTAAAAAATAAAAAATAAATAAAAATAAGTAAATAAATAAAAAAAAAAAAAAAATAATAAATAAAATAAAATAAAAAAAGTACAAAAAATTCTTTATAAAAACTGAAACTAAAACGAAACTGAAGAACAGTTCCAAAGCAATACAGAAAAAATTCTTTGGCTATTTAACACATTTTACTGTAAACTACAGGGCAAAGAGGCACACTCTTGAAAAATGGATTCAGTCAAATAATTACAAACGTTATCGAAAAGTTACTAAACTGAAAACAGTCGCAAAAACACAACAAAACGTGTAAGGCCACAAACAAAACAGTAACACTCGTATAAAATATATCTTCAATTTTGTTTATTTCATTTTAATCTACACTAGAATCACAATGGGTTTTTTTCAGTTAATGGATCAACACCCAAGAAATACCATGATGAACCACTTCCGGAAAATTACCCGAGCATGGTTCAGAAATACACCTCCTACAGGTGGCGCCTCGGGTACCTGGTGACCCTTGGTATCGTTTCTGTCCAGTGCATGAAGAACTGTATGTCATTCGCTATAGTATGCATGACAAGGGGAGTAACTCTTGACAAGGGAGAGCACTCCAACCTAAGCGATGCTGGCGCCAACGACACAGCAGCGTTCTCAGACTCGGGAAGCAGCGGATGGCCAAATTATTCAAGAGCGGGAGAGGTATGTTTCCAGGAACATTGAAAATGATTATCGTATATTTCAAGATGAGGAGTACGGTTTTACGTTCGTGTCAGGCGGGGCGGTGGCGTAGCCTAGTGGTTAAAGCGTTGGCTCGTCACGCCGAAGACCCGGGTTCGAATCCCCACATGGGTACAATGAGTGAAGCCCATTTCTGGTGTCCCCGCCGTGATATTGCTGGAATATTGCTAAAAGCGGCGTAAAACCAAACTCAGTCAGTCAGTCGTGTCAGGCGTCATGGTCAAAGCGTTCGCTCCTCACGCTGAGGACTCGAGTTCGAATCGCCACATGGGTTCAATTTATGAAGCCTGTTTCTGGTGTCGTGATGTTGGTGGAGTCACTCACTCCTGTCCAAGTACATTGGGGGAAATATAATTTATCCTCTTGGGATTCGAACACGGTGTTTCAGCATACCCACTGGGCTAACATTTTCATTTTATTCACACGAATGTGCATCCGTGTGTTCAGCCTTGCTGTTGGAGAGGTGTTCTTGGGTTTAACACCACGTGTCACATATTGACGTGACTTCGCGTTTTTGGGGCAGCTCGTACTTGTCCGAACTGGTATCATATTTATTCTGTTTATTGACTTCGATACCATGTGCGAATTTAACATAGTATTTTAAATCCACGTTTAACCTTTTTTCACTAAATGTTGCATGTAACTTTGTAGAATTATATCTTTCACGTACAATATTGGTTATTTCAGAAAACCTACAAATAATCATGTATATAAACCGGGCGGCTAACAACGGTTTTTTTTCAAAGAAAAGATATTATATTCTCTGTAACTTAAAGCACTCCAAAGCTCCGTTTCCAGAGCGGCTGGGTAGCCTAGTGGTTAAAGCGTTGGCTCATCACGCCGAAGACCCGAGTTCGATTCATACATGGATACAATGTTTGAAACCCATTTTGTTGCTTCCACTTTTCAATTGTAACCAGGTGACCACGGCAGAATTTGACTTCAGCAGCGAGATGGAAGGTCTTCTCATATCGTCAACTTACTACGTTGGTGTTATTTCGCCAATATTTGGCAGCCTGGCTTCCCGAAGATTTGGTGCCAAGAGGGTTATGCTTGCAAGTCTTGTGTTGGGTGGTGTCGCGACGATTGCCATTCCGGTAGCAGCGAGAAGCCATGTGTACCTGGCTATCTTGTGCCGTGTGGCTCTCGGATTTGCAGTTGTGAGTAAACCATATCAGATATAAAATTTTCATTTAAACTGAAACGGAGCCGAAGGGGATTCAGGGAAATCTAGACTTACTCATTTTTTAGACTTTTGGCAATGCATTGCAGAAATGGCTGGACGAGAGGGAAATTCGTCTGTCAGGGCCTGCGAGACAGATTACGTATATGAGTGAGTGAGTTTGGAATATGACTTGGAGTCAATTGGAGAATAACAATTCAAGCAATCCGTAGTTCCAGACCAGCGGGGGTTTGATATTCTATGTAAAAACATTAGACAAACGGTCATGTGTGTTTAAGGGCACTGGATGGGTTTTCAGGTGTGCCATTTTCAATTTTGGTTGTTTTTTTTTTTTTTAATTTCATAGCAGAAGTCAGCTAGCTAATCCATTGGATCAAAATACACATTAATGACATAAATAGAGAATCTCACCCCTACTGATGTCAATTATATCAACACGAGTTGATAACGTTGATATATTTGATATCAGAAGACACGAGGATGAGATTCTATTTATCATAAAGAATAACTCTTCATTGGTTTTCAATGAAAAATGTCTGAACTCGGCCCTGTCATGACTTGCAGTGGAGCTGTCATAGCTTTGTGACGTTATCTAGTTATGACGTCATAACACCGTGATGTCATCGGGGTTTTGACATTATAGCATTGAGTCATGTAATTGATGATGTCAAAGCATTGTGATCTCATGTAATTTATGACGTCAGGGGATTGTGCAAAATCTAGAGATATGTTCAGGGATACCGTCATTGACACAGAAGTTGTAAACCTGAATACAAAATCAACAAAACGTTCGTGATAACAACAGATCGATGTGACCAAAAGAAGTGAAAGAATGGGTTTATAAACACAGTGTTGATCATCAATTGAATAACCACTTCCTTTGAAATGCACTACCGACAAAACAATCGTGATATTCTGGCGAAATGTGGAAAGAAAGGAGTATGTCGTATCTCGTCAATGGCCCGTAATATCACCTACGAAATCACCTACCATTTCCAGCGATATTTACTGGATACCATGATTTGAAAACAACTTCAATGAATAACATAACTTTCCTAAGATGAATGAATTCCTTGTATCTTCAGTTCCCAATTGCGTAGGTCGATGCTCATGCTGCTGATCACTGGATTGTCAGATCAAGACTCGATTATTTACAAACCGACGCCATATAGCTGGAATATTGCTGAGTGCGGCGTAAAACTAAACTCGCGCACTGTATTATCAGTTTATTTCAATTTATTTTTGTTTGTTATCTTCTATGTTATATAGAACAGCGTGTTGCCAGTGTCAGTCGATGTTTGGCTGTACTGGGCTCCAATACAAGAGAAGGCACAGCTGATCACCTATACTTTTACTGGTAAGTGAGTGAGAGTTGCGAGGAAGTCACAATTCACATTGGATAATCCGTTGATATTAAGATCCGGGTCAGAACTGGTCTTCAGCAACCAATGCTTGTTGTAAGGGGCAACTAACGGGATCGGGTGGTCAGGTTCGATGACTTGGTTGACACATGTCATCGTATCCTAACAGCTCATTCTAACAGCAATTCTGCAGATCATATCGATCAACCGAACCTACTTGCTGTTGATCACTGTATTGTCTGGTCCAGACACGATTATTTAGATACAGCCGCCATATAGCTGGTGTATTGCTGAGTGCGGCATAAAACTAAACACACTCACTCACTCTGAAAAAATGTCATTGTCCTTGTCTCCACCCCTGCCTGTAATGTAAACGCCCTTAATGCATTCTGCATTCGAACGCAGGTAATCAGACCCCGACAACAAGGATTTGCATATATAAATCGCATTATGACGTCACACGGAATCAAGGGAATAATCTCTATTCTGAAGATTTTGGGGACACTGAGTGAGTGAGTTTAGTTTTGTTTTACGCCGCACCCAGCAATATTCCAGTTATGGCGGCGGTCTGTAAATAACCTAGCCTGGACCAGACAATCCAGTGATCAACAGCATGAGCACCGATCTAGGCTATTGGGATACGATGACATGTGTCAACCAAGTCAGCAAGCCTGACCACCCGATCCCATTTGTAGCCTCTAACGAGAAGTGTGGGTTGCTGAAGATCAATTTTAACCCCGGCTCTTCACGGGCCTTTGTCGACACTAGTGCTCATACTATATAATATGCTAATGGTACACGGTGACTGGGTCGATAGGCAATTATGATTAAAAAACACGTAGATGATGACATGGCTCATGAAGTTAGAAATGTACACAACCGGGTTTCAAACTATTGAATTTCCAAGCTCAAACTAGAAAAAATGCACGTATTATTGGCTCTTCAAGAAATTTGTTGAATAACTTTGTGGTACTCCTACTTTTACGCTGCGCTATAAGTTTATATGAAGTCAGTTTATTTACAGAAGAAACGTCATCTTACACACCTTAACATTTCCAGGATACAACATAGCAAACATAGTGACGTTCTTCATCTGTGGATACCTCTGCCTCATCCCAATTGACAATGGTTGGCCCTTCATCTTCTACGTGTTTGGTGAGAGGGTTCAGTTTCAGAAAAGATAAGATAAGATATTCTTTTTCTTACATTTGAGTGAGCATATTGTACATTTCTTTATTACGAGGAACACCACGTTTCGGAGTATATTCCTCATGGAGGAGTAAGAATATACGTTCCTCATGATAAAGAAGTTGACATCCATAAATGCCCACCTTTTATGGTTATATATAGCTTTCATAAAATCTGTGATAATTAAGAATACGTTATTTTTCTGTTATGTGTTATCAGGTCTCAAGTGTAAAATTTATTATCAATATGAAGCTTTTCTTATAAACATGGGTGCAGTGCTGCCATTTACATATAACTCACTCACACGCTCAGTGACGTCACTTCCTCTGTCTGCAGGTGGCTGCGCGATCATCTGGGGTCTCATGTGGATGTATCTGGCTTATGACAAACCGGAAATGCATCCAAGAATTACTCGGCATGAGATGATGTACATCTTACAACATAGGACAAACGTCGACTTAGAGCTCAAGGTTTTTACTTTCAGGAATACCGTGTACAAACAAAAACGTCTTTCACAGGAATGAATTGGGTTAAATGCCGTTTTAGCACTAATTCAGAAATATCACGGCGTCTGGTTTCTGTGGGACGAAAGCCCGGAGCTATGGTCTCCGACGGTTGCCACTTTTGTGAAATATCCCAGCACGGTTATTGTACTGGCAAACACAGGAAAATATTGGCGCGAAGAAATCATATTATTCTGGTGTATCCAAGGGATGCCATTCTGCACAGTGAATTTTGGCGTCCTGGACGACTGACACATACGTACCCAAACAAGTCACCCGCTACACTTATCGAGGGTGACAACCAGGCCAAAAGCACCCTTTAATGCAGACATCAACTCATGAAAACTGACATCCTCTCGTGAAGCTAGACATCCACTCGCAAGCAAAGGCATCCATTCGTCATCTAGACGTCAACTTGTTCCTTCATTTATCTGAGGGAGCTATAACAAATGCTTGTACACAGGCTAAGATTTAGATAATGATCTTTTCAAAATGTGTTGTCTAACTTTGTCCCATCATATTGCATGGCGTCACGTGTATTTGCAATCGTCCTCCATTACAACATCTAACATTTAAACTTGAATTTAAAGTGTTTTCCACATAAATTATATTTTTTCCAGAGAAAACATGTCCCATGGAAGGACATGTTGCGGAGTACACCAGTTTTGGCGTATCTCATTGTCCTCTTTCTGCACACGTGCAATAGTAGTCTTTGGAGCAGTTACCTCCCCTTGTATATGGCAACAGCGCTGAAATTTGATGTGGAACAGGTAAGCAGGCTAATTTGTCGCTGACCCATAGCTTGAAAACTGCGTGCAGTACGTCTTGTCATTTTGGCAGCTTAAATATTTTGGAAACACATGCAATTGTGAAAGGGACCTGTCACAACTGAGGGGCGGTGGTATAGCCAAGTGGTTAAACCATTTGCTCATCACGCCGAAGACCTGGGTTCGATTCCCCACAGTGGGGTTAAGCCACATTTAAGACATACAGAGTTGAAAATGGTGTGGCTCAACCGGCAATGGGCATGGTTGAGTGATCGTATGAATGTGGCTTTCCAGGCAATGCGCTATTACGGTAAATAATGGGTATCAAATATTGAGAAAAGGCCAGATCACGTAAACTAGCTGCCTCAGGTAGGTACTCAAGCATCTTTTACGAATTATTTATGATTATACAACCACTTATTTCTTTGAAGCATTTTGACTTATGGGAGGGTCAAAGGCATTGCATGTTTTATCCTTTTCTGATAACTGTTTGAGATAAGAGGCTATTGTTGCCTTAGTTATTATGTTTACATTCATGCCAAGAGCAGAAGAAAAAAAAACAATTTAGAAGAATGGCCATTTATTGCACAAATATACTTATAAACAGCCACATATGTGACGGCTTACTCTTTCCATTTTATAGCTGTTATGTCTAGATTTTCCAAAATCAGTATTTTTGCAGTAGTTACGGTGATGACATTTTGATTTAAAGTTGAAACGTCACAGTTAACTTTATGAAAAATTCTTGTCCAAACTTCTCTGCTGATGCAATATACCAATCATACAAACCCAAGTAGTTCACATGAAGACATAAAACATATTAATGTTATCATATGTTAACTAAAGATTTCAACGAGAAAAAAAGAGGCCGCCCATCATATGTTAACTAAACAAAGGACAAGTCACTAAAAAAAATTAATCCATTGTGATCAATGGGTGACGCTTATTTGAAAAAAGCCGGTATTGATTCCCTTATTCATTGTGGCTTTCGCGGCGATTGGTATTTTTCAACTAGGGAACTAGGGAAGAGGTCAAATTTAGAGGGTGGGGTGGGGTGGGTTTGGGGGTTGGTGGTGTTGGTGTAGGCATTCACATTGTAGATACTTCTCCAGAAAATCTTCATCACCCTCACCCCCCCAACCCCTCCCTCAGCAATACATTATTCAATTATGAACGGTCCCTAATAATGTCTTTTGAACTGGTACGCTTCATTCTACCATGAATCAAGAAAATACTAGATTCTGATTGGTTGTTCAGAAAAATCAGACGGCATCAATTGTGGATTGACGCTCATCTGATTGTAAGGCCGCTTCACCGCGCATTGACAAATCTTATTGTGAGAACTACTTCCGTTTGACCACAATGATGGCGGATCATAACAACAACTACGCGTTCGGTTCCAATTGAAATTTAGTCGCCATCAATTCAGTAAAGCATGTGTCTGATTTTCAAACACACTAGGTTTATCTCCTAATTTAATTCCCTGTTTGGTTCTGCCTTCAGAACGGCGTGCTCTCTTCCATGCCTTATATTACTCGTGTCTTTGGGACTTTGTTCTGGAGCAACATCAGCATGCAGCTTGTGAAAAGGTTGTCCGTGACCCACACTCGGAAACTCGTACAGACAATCGGTACGTCGTAAGCTCACACACAACAACGCAGCGACACGGGGTAGAATTATGAAATGTGTGTCATATTCCATCTCTGAGCTTTAAAGCATTAGTTTGGAATCATAGAGGGACATTGTCACATTGTCGCCTTTTGAGAAACAAACAAAAAATGTCAAAATCACAACTTGCCATGTGGCGCTTCGAATAATATATTTCTTCAACAAATGGGCACCAATGCAACAACTGTTTATTTCCTGATTCTTGACATTACTCCACTGATTACTGTTATTACGTCATTGATTATTGCCATTACTTCATTAATTATTGTCATTACGTCATTAATTATTGCCATTACGCCATTGATTATTGCCATTACTTAATGAATTATTGTCATTACTTCATTAATTATTGCCATTACGCAATTGATTATTGCCATTACTTCATTAATTATTGCCATTACGCCATTGATTATTGCCATTTCTTCATTAATTATTGTCATTACATCATTGATTGCCATAACGTAATTTACTGTTGCCAGTGTGTCACTCAATATTTCCATTGCATCACTGATTATTGACGTTTCTTCATTGATTATTGTCATTACGCCATTTACTGTTGCCGGTATTTAATTGATTGGTTTCTGCCAGTATTTAATTGATTGATTGTTGCCAGTATTGAATTGATTGATTGTTGCCAGTATTTAATTGATTGCGGCCAGTATTTTCATTGATTGAATGTTGCCAGTATTAAATTGATTGAATGTTGCCAGTATTTAATTGATTGATTGTTGCCAGTATTTAATTGATTGTTGCCAGTATTTAATTGATTGATTGTTGCCAGTATTTAATTGATTGTTGCCAGTATTTAATTGATTGTTGTCAATACACCACTGATTATTGATATGTGAGACCTTGTCGTCCAAAATGCACGCCATATGGGTTCGAATCCCGGATTGTGTTTCTTGGGTTTGTGGTTTGTTATCACCTGTACCCAGCTTGTGGCTTTCTCCACAGTGCTAAACGTCTGAGACCTGCACTATTTCGGGCTTCTTCCCACATGAAGCAGACACACCGCAAAGTAAATGGAATATAGTACAAAACGGCGTTAAACCTCACTTACTCCTTCACCCTTCATTACTTCGTGGGTTATTGGCAGGATTTGCGGTAGCAACTGCCCTGACCATCGGTCTGTGCTTTCTTGGGGATGGTCAGGAGTACATCGCTGTTGCCATCATCGCAGTGGCTATGCCGTTCCAGTCCGTCACAGCCGCTGCCAGTTTGGTCAGTCCTGTGGATATAGCACCACAGTACGTTAAGCAAAACTGTTCCTGCAAACTCAGGGTTGAGATTATATCTTGTGTTAAAAGAAAGACTAATCCGTAATTATATTTTCCGTCTTAAAAAGGACGTATCACCATATAACTGAACAGAACAACTTTTATAACTAACCTCTTTCAAAACAACAACCTCAATAGTTCAAGAAGAAACCGATAGAAATGTTTTCATTATTTTGTGTACAAGATGTACGAGATATTCAGAACAGCATCTAACCCACACGTCATCTCGTACCCGTGAAGATCCAGGTTAGAATTGATCTTCAGTAACCCATGCCTGTTGTAAGAGGCGACTAACGGGATCGGGTGGTCGGGCTCGCTGACTTGGTTGACACGCCATCGTATCCCAATTGCGTAGATCGATGCTCCTGCTGTTGATCACTGTATTGTCTGTTTCAGACTTGATAATTTACAGACCGCCGTCATATAGCTGGAATATTGCTGAGTTGAAATAGTCACTCACTCGTCATCTCGCCACAACATCACCACCACGTAACATCAACCGTCAGCCAACCACCATTGCCACCACACCTCCCATCACCATCCGGACGATTCAGCTTGCTGCTTTGATACACTTATGAGATCTCTCTTTGTTATATTCCCCAGGTTCGCATCCTACATAACAGCATTTGGAGAGGGGTTAAGTTTCGCAGCATACTCCATCGCCCCCCTCAGCGTGTCCTACATCGTCCCAGACGTAAGCACACTGGTTACCTGGGTCCGAGTTTACACCCCCTGTTCTTCACAATTATGAATCTTGCTCAGCACAACATGCATTTTTGCAATTTCGGGGCGGTTGGGTAGCCTACTGGTTCGTTCGTCACGCCCATGACCGGGGTTCGATTCCCCACATGGGTACAATGTGTGAAGCCCATTTCTGGTGTTCCCCGCCGTGATACTGCTTGAATATTGCTAAAAGCGGCGTAAAACTAAACTCTCTCTCTCTCTCTCTCTCTCTCTCACGTTTGCAATTTCAATCGTGGTCCATTGTGGCTGTCCCGCATAAAGCGGTTTCTCTGGGTCCCTATCCACAAAATGTTCGCAGGGCTACGACATTCCTAAGCCTGTGATAAACTATAGAGTTACGACAGGTCGTAACATTACGAACGCTTTGTGGATCGGGACCCTGTAATATAACCTTTAGTTTTACTCCGCACTCAGTAATATTCTAGCCATATGGCGGCGGTCTGTAAATAATCGAGTCTGGACTAACGGGATCGGGTGGTCATCGAGCCTGAGCATCCGATCCCGTTAGTCGCCAGACAATCCAGTGATCGATATCATAAGCATCGGTCTACGCAATTGGGATACGATGACATGTGTCAACCATGTCAGCGAGCCTGACCACCAGATCCCGTTAGTCGCCTCTTACTACAAGCATGGGTTGCTGAAGACCAATTCCAGCCCGTATCTTCACGGGTCACTTGTCAAAGAGGCTCACTCACTCACTCACACATAAAACTCTGTGAAGTTAACTGTATTTTACCTTTTTCAGAGGACACGGGAACAATGGTCAATCGTCTTCTTCATCAGCGCTGGCATCTACGTGGTCGCAGCTGTCCTTTTCATCATCTTTGGTAGTGGGGAGCTTCAGGCGTGGGCAGACAACTCCGCGCCCACGAAGAAAAGTGAAATCAACGAAGCGTACATCAAAGATATGGACGAGCTGAATTCAAACTGAAATGCATAAAGCCCACTTTTGTCGTGACAACTCGAGTAATGCCCAGATTTGCCAAATGCTAATGACGACTTTTTTCCGTCCTCACGCAAACTGGGTTTTGATAAAAATGTCAACTCAATGTACAAGTATTAATTCGAAGTGTTCCAATTAATTGAAATAATCGAAAATTAGTCGTAGTAACCAAACGACCAAGCAATCGATCACATCTTCTCATAATCAACCACAAACGATTTTTGAACTACAGTTTTAGTGTTTGAAACACTTGACGAATGAAAATATCTTAGAAGTTGTCAAGGCCTGGAAACGTGTTTAATTCTTAGAAAACCCATTACACTTGCTGAAAAGTCATGACTGAATATTTCTTGAAGACACTGGAAACTTTATGTTCTGAACTTCATGATATAATAGTCATCACTTTAAAGTAGCAAGTTGCATCATTTTACACTGGATGTGAAATTCGCAAATGCAATTTGCGCAGTTTCTAAATAAAACAAATTTCAACAACAGAGAACCACAGTTTTTTTTCTATATACTTATCTGCAATAACAACCTGAATAGGAAAATCTGAAAAGTGATGCTGACCAATTGTTTTCGATGATTGCTCGTTGGTAATGAACCAATCATCAATTGTGACATTTCAACCAGTTCCCAACACTAGTATTAATGATTGTTAATATGAATGATTGTAAATATGAATGATTGTAAATATGAATGATTGTAAATATGTCTGGTTTGTCGTTTCTTGGCACCGAACATTCATCAATAGGTGGAACAAAGTGTTTACTTAGAAAGAGTCATCCCAAATATATTTGCAACGTTAAATAAAATTGATAACTAAGAGATTTTACAAGCGCTTGAAACACATAGCTTTTAAACACGTCGAAAGTTTCTGATCATTCCATGGTTCACATCTTTGAAGGTCATACTTTCAGACCTTAGGCCAATTTGGTCACCCAAATATATACATATATTTCGTGAATTCAATCTGTCATTTTGTTGCGATCATCATCGTGTTTGGCAGCTTGACTCCTGAGAGTTTCTTGTACGTTAGTATTGCCCCACAACGAAGCACATGTGATACAAGTGGTCTAACCTTAGGCAAGTGGGTTTGTTCAAAATTGCCTCTGTTCACCCATGACATTAACCGTTTAAACGTCTCAACGGCAGTTTGGGTTATCCGGGGTAATAATAATAGCGCTTTAAAAAAGTGGACTATAATTATTATCAAATCATGACTTTAAACTTTGAACTTTACGAAGAGAGGAGTCTAAAATCAGTTCCACTTCTTGTTGGTATTGGGGGCAGTCGGGGATAACCTTGTGGTTAAAGCGTTCCGCTGTCATGCCGAAGATCCGGGTTCAAATCCCAATATGGGTACAATGCGTGGAGCCCATTTCTGGTGTCCCCCGCCGTGATATAGCTGAATATTGTTAAAAGCGGCGTAAAACCATACTCATTCACTCACTCTTGTTGGTATTCCTTAAATGTATGTATTCCTTACACTAGATTTATACATTCCCTACACTAGATGTCTGTACGCAAATGTATTCCTTCAACAAAGTGTACGTTTTCCTTATACTAAGTTTCTGTATTTCTCACACAAGGCGAATGTATACCTTATATCAAGTGTACGTATTCCTTTCACTAAGTGTACGTATTCCTTTCACCAAGTGTACGTATTCCTTTCACTAAGTGTACGTATTCCTTACACTAAGTGCACGTATTCCTTCCACTAAGTGTACGTATCCCTTCCACTAAGTGCACGTATTCCTTCCACTAAGTGCACGTATTCCTTACACTAAGTGTACGAATTCCTTACACTAAGTGCACGTATTCCTTACACTAAGTGCACGTATTCCTTTCACTAAGTTCACGCATCCCTTACAATAAGTTTACGTACTCCTTACACTACGTGCACGCATTCCTTACACTACGTGCACGCATTCCTTACACTACGTGCACGCATTCCTAACGCTGAGTGTACGTTCCCTTAATCTAAGCCCCCGTGGTTAAATCATTCCCCGAAGACCCGGGTTCGATTCACCATATGGGTACATAAGCCCATTTCTAATGTTCCCCGCCGTGATATTGCTGGAATGTTGTGCACATCGGCGTAAAACCATACTCAGTCACACATCAGACTATGAAACCTTTGCATATGCATGTGTCTATTAACTTCTCAGTCCTCCGATTTTACACCAGGTATATTATCTATCACCAAAGGCTTAATTCTGAAGTATTTTACTGAGTTCTCTGAAATTCCTTACTTTTACTTAAAGGTCACATGCAACCAAAAAATCAAACATAATTAAAACAATTATCACTTATTCATGACATATAATATACATTGCTGGTTATTTGTGTGAGCGAATAATTGCCTGCAGTCTATGGGGAAAATTGTTCGATGCTCCTGTAAAATCTTTCGAGTGCACCCGTATCTTCCACAGCCTCAGATTTTGATGCTCTTAGTATATTTAAAATATACTGCCCATCAAAAGTTTAGACTCACTAGTGTAAATGTAGCCACTTACTTCAGGCAACTGTTCTAGTTACATTTTGCAATATAATCCATATTGTTTAAAGGTACTGTTTACACATGAACTGATGTATTGTAAAACAAATATTTTTTCATAACGTTGAAAAGATTATTGTCATGAATTCAATAAATGATGAAACTCAGTGAACATTGGCGAATTCTTAACAAAATTCACACCAAAACGCAGTTGTTCACATGCACGATATTTGCACATGCTTTTCAGCAATTTGATGCATGATCCTCGTGCTATTTATTTGCATAAGGTTTACAGCTGGTTCCAACAAGTTAGGGGAGAAATTCATCTTCGATGTAACCATACATATATACTGAGTCAAAAAAGAAACTTCACAAAATGTAATTAGAAAAATAATGAATATTTTTTCTCTGATGATACATCTATGTATCCGAAATGGGATCCCTATCTTTCGACTCTAGAAAAACGTTAGCAAAACCCACTCAAACCCATCCATTCGTCGTGCAAATGACGTTAGTGCCAAATCAGGTTTTGCACTTGCAGTCGATCACGTGATCTTCGCATCGAAGTTTTCTTCATATGCACGTGTTTGCATTGGCCACAAGAATTGAAAAAACACTTTTAAACCACAGTTCTAACGGTACTTGAAATGTCACGATTGTCAAATGTGCAACGTGAACGTGCCGTTGGCATGTTGCTAGCGGGAAGATCAGTTATTGACGTCGCAAGAGAAATGGGATGCAGCCGCCGTACTGTGTATGACTTGCGAGGTCGTCTACAACAAACTGGCACCACTTCTGATCCCCCAAGGTTGGGTCGTCCACGTGTGACGTCACGAGCAGAAGACCGTCAAATCGTCCTACGTCACCTACGTGACAGATTTCTGCCGGCTACACGAACCAGGGCTGAGATGTTTAGAGGTCGACTGTCCTCACAGACCATTCGAAATCGGTTGCGGGCTGCCAATCTCCATTCTCGAAGTCCATATCGTGGGCAAATATTGACGCCGTTTCATCAACGTCAACGTCTGCTGCGGGCCCAACGTCACCTCCGATGGACCCAGAGAGACTGGAATCGAGTCGTCTTTAGCGATGAATCTAACCTTACACTCAGATTCGCGGACGGCAGGCATAGAGTCTGGAGACGACGTCGTGAACGGTATGCCCAATGTTGTGTACAGGAAGTCGACAGATTCGGGGTCGGAAGTTGCATGGTGTGGGGTGCTTTCTATGGGAACAACCGTTCCCGACTTCTGGTCATCCGTGGAAACCGACCAGGTGCTCACCCCTGAACTCGTTCCTTTCATGGCGGCTCATGGCCCAGGTCTACAGTTCCAGCATGATAATGCTCGGCCGCATACCGCGATGTTGACACGAAATTTCCTTGAAAACGCTGGAATCAACGTCATGGACTGGCCATCGAGGTCCCCTGACCTTAATCCAATAGAGCACGTTTGGGATGCACTTGGGAGAAGGCTTCGTGGTCTTAGGAACCAACCTCAGAATTTGCAGGAACTTGGCGCTGCCTTGCAAGAGCAATGGCGCAGAATCCCCAACCACGTGTTCACAAGCATCAGGCAGTCGATGAGGAGATGGTGTTTGGCAGTGGTGAATGCGCGGGGCGGCCATACACGATATTGAACTGTAAAATTTCGCATTTATATTCTTGTGACTTGACATTCTGTATACCCATGTGTTGGAACGGCGGTGTAGCCTAATGGAACTGATTATATCTCTTGTTCTTTTATAGTGCCCTGAAGAAAGAATGTGAAGTTTCTTTTTTGACTCAGTATATATACATAACATATAGTGAGTGCTTTTAGTGAGTCTAAACGTTGGATGGTTAGCAAACAATGAGCCATTTCCGTCACCACAATTTCAAAGGGTAGGTTGTATACTCCCCAGGGATTTGAGATTGATAATGCGATGTGCCGTTGAGATTGACATCCAATGATCGAGGGAAAATATACCAGCGCTTTGAGCATGCACTAGTGCGTGGATATGTGCGCTATATAAATATCCTATAATCCTATAATAGGTGTTCAGATGACTGTTGCCAGAAGTCGAGATAAGCCATCTTGATTTAACCAATAATGATGCGTTGGGCTTTATACCGCGCTGAAGGGTTGTGGGGTAGCATAGTGGTCAGAACGTTCCCGCGTTACCCCAAAACCCAGTTTCGATCCCCCATATGGGTACAATGTGTAAAGCCCATTTCTGTGATATTGCTGGAATATTGCTAAACTGGGTTTAAGAGCATACTTCATCACGCACTATACCACGTTGAACACCAACAGAGATCTTTACACACCTTCCATCTTCGATTGCCCAGGGGTGTGCGTGTGAGTGAGTTTAGATTTACGCCGCACTCAGCAACAGTCCAGCTGTATGGCGGCGTTCTGAAAATAACCGAGTCTTGACCAGACAATCCACTGACCAACAGCATGAATCTACATATCGATCTACCGAACCTACATGATGTTGATCACTGGATTGTCTGGTCCAGACTCGATTATTTACAGACCGACGCCATATGGCTGGTATATTGCTGAGTGCGGCGTTAAACAACAAACAAACAAACAAATACTAAACACAGAATCATGACGCGCACTCAGCAATAATCCAGCTATATGGCGGCGGTCTGTAAATAATCGAGTCTGGACCAGACAATCCAGTGATCAACAGCAGGAGCATCAATCTTCGCAATGGGGAACCGATGACATGTGACAACCAAGTCAGCGAGCCCGACCACCCGATCCCGTTAGTCGCCTCTTACGACAAGCATGGGTTACTGAAGATCAATATTCTAACCTGGACCTTCACGGGTAGACTGCAAGATGATAGCTTCAAGATCAATACACCATGTAAGATCCATCGTCAGTGATCCTCGCCATAATGTTACCCAAAGCTGCTACTGCTGTCGATTCATATAACACTCACTCACACACACAAAGTTTCAAAATAGGCCTTGTCCACATGAACA